TTCAGTAGGTGAGTTAGTATTTTGTAGCATGTCAATAACCTTGATTATGTTTACTTCTCTTCTGACTCGCTGTACAATTGCCCTTCCCTTATGTCATAATGGCTGAGGGTTCCTTAAAAACAACCGTCTCCACCAAAGCACCAAAACTTCTGAGATTCAGGCTTTCAAAAGCCCTAAAGTATTTTAATTATTCTGATAATGAGCGCTGTAAATTCAAGTCCCATGCTTTCGGTAGTTATTGTAACGAGGTCAGCCAGGTAGACCTCATAGAATATGAGTTGCCTGATTGGACCAGTTTAACAGGCTTTATCAGGGAGCCCTGGCTGACAGGTAAGAACAGGAGTTTCAGACATCTTGTTCACTCTGTGAGCTGGCTCTGAGGAAGCTGGATCAGTGTCAAAGACTCTCCATGTGTAAGTAAAGCATGACTTGGTGACAGGATACCAACCTCGGTGGAGTTATTTCATTTTTGTTGACCTCACAAAAATCAATGGTGGCAGAATAAACTCAAAATAAAAATAGAAAATGTAATCACATTCAGCTACCTTCAGGCTCAGATGATGCATGTCAAAGACATTCAGCCACAAAGAATGGCCACCAGATATTCAGGTTTCATAGCTCAACCCTGGTTCTAACTGGACAACTTGTGCCTGTCTTCAAAGAATATTCTGCAAACAGTGAGGATTCAAGAAGTCTAATGTGAAGGAAAAGCTTAAAGTAAATATTATTTACTTAAAGTAATATATTTTGGAAAAAAATGGAGAAATTAATGGGATTAAAAGCTGACAGTTCTCTGAGACTTGATGATCTACACCACGTAGTTCTAAAAATAGCAGCTGCAGAGATAGTAGCTGCATTGGTTTTGATCTTCAGGAATCTCCAAGGCTCTAAAACAGTAACCTTGAAATGGAAGGTAGCAAAATATAGAGATAACAAGGTGTAGAGCTGGATGAACACAGCAGGCCAAGCAGCATCAGACGAACAGGAAAGCTAACGTTTCGGGCCTAGACCCTTCTTCAGAAATGGGGGAAGGGAAGGGGATTCTGAAATAAATAGGAAGAAAGGGGGAGGTGGATAGAAGATGGATAACGGAGAAGATAGGTGGAGAGGAGACAGACAGGTCAAAGATGTGGGGGTGGAACCAGTAAAGGTGAGTGTAGGTGGGGAGGTAGGGAGGGGATAGGTCAGTCCAGGGAAGATGGACAGGTCAAGGGTGCGGGATGAGGTTAGTAGGTAGGAGATGGGGGTGGGGCTTGAGGTGGGAGGAGGGGCTAGGTGGGAGAAAGGACTGGTTAGGGAGGCGGGGACAAGCTCGGCTGGTTTTAGGATGCGGTAGGGGGAGGGGAGATTTTGAAGCTTGTGAAGACCGCATTGATACCATTGGGCTGCAGGGTTCCCAAGCGAAATATGAGGTGCTGTTCCTGCAACCTTGGGGTGGCATCGTTGTGGCACTGCAGGAGGCCCAGGATGGACATGTCGTCTAAGGAATGGGAGGGGGAGTTGAAATGGTTTGCGACTGGGAGGTGCAGTTGTTTAGTGCGAACCAAGCATAGGTGTTCTGCAAAGCGGGCCCAAGCCTCCGCTTGATTTCCCCAATGTAGAGGAGGCCACATCTGGAACAGCGGATACAGTATACCACATTAGCAGATGTGCAGGTGAACATCTGCTTGATGTGGAAGGTCTTCTTGGGGCCTGGGATGAGGGTGAGGGGGGAGGTGTAGGGGCAGGTGTAGCACTTCCTTCGGTTGCAGGGAAAAGTGCCGGGTGTGGTGGGGCTGGAGGGGAGTGTGGGGCAGACAAGGGAGTCACGGAGAGAGTGGTCCCTCCGGAAAGCAGATAACCCTCTACATCGGGGAAACCAAGCAGGAACAGCACCTCATATTTCGCTTGGGAACCCTGCAGCCCAATGGTATCAATGTGGACTTCACAAGCTTCAAAATCTCCCCTCCCCCTACCGCATCCTAAAACCAGCCCAGCTTGTCCCCGCCTCCCTAACCTGTCCTTCCTCCCACCTATCCCCTCCTCCCACCTCAAGCCCCACCCCCATCTCCTACGTACTAGCCTCATCCCGCCCCCTTGACCTGTCCGTCCTCCCTGGACTGACCTATCCCCTCCCTAACTCCCCACCTACACTCACCTTTACTGGCTCCACCCCCGCCTCTTTGTCTCCTCTCCACCTATCTTCTCCTTTATTCATCTTCTATCCACCTCCCCCTCTCTCCCTATTTATTTCAGAACCCCCTTCCCCTCCCCCATTTCTGAAGAAGGGTCTAGGCCTGAAACATCAGCTTTCCTGCTCCTCTGACGCTGCTTGGCCTGCTGTGTTTATCCAGCTCCACACCTTGTTATCTCAGATTCTCCAGCATCTGCAGTTCCTACTATCTCTGCAGAAAAATATAGCCCAGCTGTTGAAGGAGGGAGAGTGACATTAGTGATTTTTAAGCCAGTTAGCTTGACTTCAGCAATATAGGAAATGCTAGACTTGGGGCGTGTCCTATTATTTAGAAAATTGAAATATGTAAACAAACCATGTTTGACAAATCTAATTGAGATTTGAGGATGTAATGATCAGGATAAGCAAGAGGGAACAAGAGAATATGTCATTTATTTGGATTTACAAAAGGCATTACTTAATTGCCACACACGCCATTTAGCAAAGAATAGGGCTCACAGGATAAATGGGCTAAATTATTAGCATGGACTGTGGATTGGTTAACTGACAGAAAACAAAAAGTAGAACTAAATGGACAATTTCTGGATCAGTAAGGTGTAACTAATTGGGATGATGCAAGGATCAGTGCTTGGGCCCCAGCTACTTATAATCTATATCAACAATGTAGTTGAAGGACTGAGTGTACTGTATCCAAGTTTACCAATGATTCCAAATTAAAGGGGAAAGTAAACAATAAGGATGCACGAGTCTGGAAAGGAATGTAGACCTGTTAAGCGATGGGACAAGAGTGCATCAGGCAGAATATATGAGGGAGACTGTGCATTTGTCCACACTAGTACAATGAATAGAAAAGAGATGACACAAAACTGCGTGAGGAATTGTAAACTTTGAGGAGGACAGTGTGGAACTTCAAAAGAACATTGACAAGTTGGTGGAGTGGATAGATAGATGATAGATGAGGTTTGATGCAGAGATGTGTGAGGTGATGCAGTTTGATCGGAAGAACATTGAAAGACAATATTACATAAGTGGTTTAATTCTAATGGGGGTGCAGGAGCAAAGGAACCTAGGTGTATACATGCACAGATCATTGACAGCAGCAGGCCACGTGGAGATAGCAGGAATAAAGCATACAATGTCCTTGGCTTTATATCAGAGTGACATTGTGCACCTCTCTTTTGCTGTTTTCATGCCACATCTGAACAAAAATAAATGGCTCAGTTGACCAATGTATGAACATAGACAAGGCTTAAATAACACAAACAATGTTTTTTCTCCAGCACTTTGACTGTGTTTCATTCTAGGATCACTTTCCGACTTCAGCACTCCATTTTTTTGATCTGGACACACTGTGACTCCTTTTTTTAGTAGCGATGTTCCTCCTTCATTAAGTTTGCTGTGTTTCAGTACGGATTAGAACACTTAGTTGTTAGTTGTAAACTTTAGGTCTGAACTAATTTAAATGATGAGTGATATTTAGGGAAAAGAAACTCTTGACAACTACCTCTGCTGCTCGATCCTTTTCAGCATTTAGTACCAACAAGCTGCCACTAGCTCTTAGTGCTAAATTGTTCCACCATGATGTGGGATTCTTGTGTCAAACCCACTGCTGGTATGATATGGTCTGAGCACTTCTGTAAATGTTAGTCCATGTAACAAAAACTGAGTGCTTCTTGAAAATTATTAAGAATATTAACCGTATACACTGCTGTAAGATTTCAGACTTGCAGAGTTTGGAACCTGTACTTATGATGTTATAGCTCCATTGCATGACTATGATACTACACATGGCTGACTGCAATGGCTAGACAATGCACTGACTCCATTGCACTGCTATTACTGAGTTGTAACCTAATACTTTTGACTCTTTTAGACACAATAGTTGCAGTTAGAAACTCGTGTGTCCAGGATTGTGTCCACAGAAGAACATTAAAAATTTCATGCTGCAGTCTCACAATCCCAACAGGGTGTTTGGCTCGATGAATCCAGATGGATGCTAGTCAGTGAAGTGTGACTTAATGGGATATATGTGGAACCCTGATGATCTCCAACCCACAGATCAAGTTACTTTCAAATATGCCTGCATGCAATGTAGCAGCACATACCTATGGTGAGGCCATTGATTAAAAATCTTGTGCATTCCATGTCTAGATCAAGTCCCCATAAGAAATAAGGTCATAAAGGGCTACAGACAGGCTGCTGAAGTGTTCCATCTGGGTTAGCTGTGTGGAGTTGGTGAGTGCAAATAATCTGCCGAACCCATTCCTCCACCAGAGCAGAATCATACTGGTTAGGAGCACAATGGAGGATACTAGAGCAAACATGGTAGGGTGCTTGACCCACCCGTTCAGTTTCTTGAAGGTTTGACAAATTTGAGGTATAATCTTGCAGGATTGTGGAACCAAATTTGTGTAAAAGATGGCACTGTACACTTCACCTCATAGTCTAAAATGTAACCTTGAATTTCTCTTTTTTGGTAGAAGAACAAGACCAGCCAGTCAGAGAGTGCCCAAAGAAAACAGTTGCAAAGCTTGATGGACAGTTTCAGGACCAGAATGTCTAGCTGTGCTCCAGGAGCTGAGACCTATATAGTGGATGCTACAGAACATTCCTCTATTTTAGAAGGGAGTTGGTGAATGAAATGCCCCCCTCCACCAGGGTGGTTGAACCTGACTGGCGGGAAAGACAGCCAGGGCTCACAGAGACCAAGGGAGGGAAAGAAGGTGAAAGCGGTGAACTATGAAATATGATTTTGCATTGAAAATCGAAGCACAGCATCTGGATAAGAAGGGAATAAAAAACATTCTTTTTCGATGTTTTGTTACAGATTGACCTCCATGGATAAGTCGAGCCATGGATCTCGAGACCAGAACAGAACCATCTAGATCATTGCAGATGAGCCAGAGTCCTTGCTGCCATTGAATGGCATAGGCAAAGACCCCAGAGCCCATGCATGTACCCTCTGTACCTCTGTCAATTGGAATGGCAACTTTCATTTTGCACCAAGTATAGTTCCTAAAACACCTGTACTATGACGTAGGTGGGATATTGAAGAAAGAATTCTCTCAACAGTCCTCCAGCTCGAAAGTATATAATCTGTGCCCACATATTCTGTACGTTCATACTTTTATTCTCCATAATTTCCAGGGGCAGAAAACTCATACTTCCTGTTCCCTAGCAGGTGTAACTGCAGAGTGGTCTGGAGATCACGAATCGTCAAAGGGAAAATGTTCTCGGCTCTAAGACAAACTCAGTGTTTGTCAAGACGCTGGCTGTCACTGCTGGGCTCAGACATATTCTGTGACAGTTCATTCCATGGCAGAGGATGTACCCATTTCCTTAATGCAGACAATCATCTTGAACCTAAATCTGCACTTTCTCCTGTTAAACTGAGTGCTGTCAAAGGCAAGCTCTCTTGCAAATGATTATAGTTTTTAATTGTGCATTCACCTAAATCCCTTGATGCTTTTTTAACAGCATTTTGTTTTACCAATTTCTCAATTTTTAACGTGCCACATTTGACTTTATTGTGTTTGCAGCCATTAACCATTTCTCCCTCTTTTGTCACCATTTGTAGCTTGCTTTAGCTGCCTCTTATGCTCTTATGCAAGAAGATGACTGACAAAGGGATCTACAAGTAGCAAGCCCTATCCACAATTATATCTTGGATAATGGAGTTGTACAGCAGGCTAGGATGGGGGTTGTGATGTTGTTTTCCCTTTTTGTATTTTTTACCCTGTGAATTGTCTTTTTTTTATATTGGCTGTGCACTTTCCTTTCCATTCTCAATAAAAATTCTTTCAGGTACTAAAATAACTGCCACAATTGATGTTGCCATGTACACCCTAAGCAGCACAAACGCCTACCCACACAGATTTTCATATCTAGTTCATTAAACCTAGGAAAACATGGGATACTGTTGTTGAAGCTCTAGCATAGATATCAGAGCACATAAGTGAGCACAAAATGGATGATCAAGGTGATCCTTAATTATGCCTGATCGGCATTGCGACTGATTGAATTTAGTTCTTGGAGAAGTTATTTTCCAATATCAAGTTTGTGTTGGTTGTTTGAATTGTTATGAAAAATCATTTTCCATTGAGCAACACCTACATATAATACCACATGCAGGCACTATAATGTGTATTTCTAACATGCTGCATCACGGCAGACACCTTGACCAGTATGACTGGCTCCAAAGACTAATAATACTGGTGCAATAATCAGCATGACTGACTCTAAAACCAGTACTCATCCAATGACTGGTGCCATGACCACCGTTACTGGTATCAGGACCTCAATTATCTACTGGCTTCAATTCCCATAGTATACGGACTTTCACTAGTCCTCAACTACTGTTGTTTTTTTTTTCTTTCTGCGTTTGATTTAGCTTATTTTTCTTGCTAGTTTCTGCTTGTGTGTAATTAAACAACTAACAAATGATAGTATCAAGACTTTAATTGAGTGTATGTTGTTTATAATGCCAAGATGTTTTGTTTGTGACATATCACTTTGTCACTCAAAACGAGTTTAAATTGTTCAATTAGAAGCGTATATGTTGGAAATGTAGGCCTGAAATCACAAGAGACCTGATCCCAAGAATGCAAAAGCCTCCTGGTTAGCAGTCATGCATTCTTTTGCTTAGCAACACTAAGAAATATGGCCTGGCCTGAAATAACAAAATTTGTAAGAGAAAGCATTGTGATTACTAAATTGGCATCTATGTTGAAAATTTGTGATTTGAAGGTTGGGCTTGTTCTTTGTTTGAAAAGCATCAAGATCTCAACTCCTTTCTGTGTAATGAACAAATCAGCAAACCTTTTGCAATTATATCTTGTCTGGAAAGTCTAGCAACAAATGATTAATAATGGAGACAACTTCCCCCCCCCAAGTGTGCACTAATTGTGACACACTTATTCTCAAACGTAAGTGGCCTTTTAAATTCTGATGACTGTGGTGTTTCCCATTGTGATATTGTTATAATCCTCTGCTCTCTGCTCATGTCATACAAATGATGACCTTATTATTGATGATGCCAGCAGATGAACTGTATGATAATTTAGTAAAGACACTGCCCGTTCGAAATAAAGGGACTAACACCTCAGCTTGTAATAAGGAGTGAAGATGTTATACAAATACACTATGATTTTTGCTTATTAATTTCATAATTCATTCATAATTTATTATTTTTGAATTATGTCCATGTGCATTTCAATTGACAAGTAAAATAAAAGCATTTACTATCATTTAAGTATGCTTTTATTTCATCATATTAACCTATGGGTAGAATAAAAATTATTCATTGTTTTCATTTGATATATTTAGGTGAAAACAGAAACTTTTAGGCTGCTCTCTGCTCTGTTACAGTCATCAAATTTGCTTGTATCCTGTTGCCTTTCACACGCAGAGAACTGTGTCTGTCTGATTCTTTATTGTGTTTGCTGAAGAAAGCGTAAATTGACCTTCAATCCATTAAAGATGTCTTGAAATATTATAGATCACAACCGTAGTATTGCATTGCTTGTAAAATTAATAAAATTCAAGTACTCAAAAATGTAAGCCCGTTGTTATAAATTAGCATCTCTGCATTATGAATGTGCACTGCTTTTTGATATGTGGCATGTGCCAGCTTACGGAAATGGCGTCCAGATATCAGAACCAGGAGGACGTGGGCTCCTGCACTGTGCTACATTATGCAGTTCAGTTGGCATGAACAGAGCTATTGAAAGTAAGAGCAAACAAAAGTTTTGTGGTTGTTGATTTATGCTTTGTATTTATGCTGTCAGTCTCCTGAGTTTGAAATATGGTGAGAACCTGTTTAAGCCCATTTTTATTGTGACAGGATAAAGTGCGATTTAATCTGCTATGAGGTGTTCCTAGTCTTGTCATTGTGTTACACCGAAGCGAGTAGAGCTGGAAAATGGAGACTTTCCATCTGTAATGTTGGCAATATCATGCTTTATGTTGCTGTGTGTCTTCCAAATCTTTCCACATAAGCAAGTAGGTCTAACCAAAAAATATGACAGCATTTACCTGATCTCTCCTGCATGGATATATGTTTTTATTCTTCATATTTCTTTATAATTGTGCCATGCGTTACTTGTTACTTCAGTATTTTAATTGAGAAATATAAAGCCATCTATTATCTTGTCATTATAATAAGCTTGCAATTCACACCATGAATATTTTGTGCAGTGACTTTGTCTAACTTGGTTTCCAATCTTCATCGATATTACTTAAGTCAATTTTTTTAAGGAATTAGGTCAGATTTCAGCTACCTATTTAAATTTTCCTTCATAAGTTTTCTCCACTTTCTTGACAAAATAATAGAAATCTATATTTTACTTTGTTTAAAGAAGGAAGATGTTGTTAGAATATTCTAAAGTTAAATGTGAATGAAAATGCATAGCAGTGAAATATTTCAGTGAAGACAAAATTGAAATGTCCCTGAAAACAAGAGAAGGGACCATGATATGTCAGTAACCCAACATTGCTTCTGATGCAGACAGCATCTAAACTTTGTGCTGCTCACTCATTTCAATGATTGCAGCATGTCACTCATCGGTAAACAAGTTCTTGTGTGTCTGCACAGTGACCCAGGTTCATGTGACATTAGCATCACTTTAAAGCTAGCCAGCATTAATGAAAGGAGTGTTCTGGCTGGAGCACGTGCTGCTAGTGATTAGCAAAGAATGGCTGTCCTGTGTTTTTCCTCAGAGTATTGCTGTTTTGTAACAATGTTTTGAAGTCTTCCAACGCTATTTATCCCTGCAATTTAGAGTCTTGCCATTCTGTAGCCATGTAATCAAAACCTTCTGAAGCCCGTTCTCCTACCTCTAGAACCTTTTGCTTTCTCAATTATTTTTTTCCTCAAAAGTCTTCTGAAGTCTGGCTTTGGAGTCTTCCTGCTTTTACTTTCAGCTGCAACGTTGAAGTCTTCCAAGGTCTAGTGGTGCCCTCGGAATCCCCCCTTATCACTTGTATCCTTTGGACTTCAGGTCCTGGCTCTGGAGGGTGGTCTTTTTCCTTGTAGTTGCCACCAAGATTTATTTTGCACTTTACATCAATACTGCAACCTGTATAGTTGGGTACCAATCTGGAATACCTTGGTCCACAGATGTCTGGACATACCCTGTCCCTGAGGCTGTTTGCCTGTTACCAGTGAGTAAGGCTCTTTTAACTGCATATGCACTGTAATACAACTTTATTTATATCTGTATGTAGTAAGTTATCAAGTACAGTTCTCTAGTGTAGTGACTAAGACCAAGCTCTTCACATGCTCATTCTAGACTTGTTTCTTCTTTGTTACTGATGTTAGAGTTGAATCATCAATTATGTCACCATGGTGTACATGAATCTCATTATCCTACAATAGATACCTTCATAGCCACTGACAATGAAATCTTCACACCGCTCTCGAGCAGCAGTTCTCAGTGGCAGATTTCAATGTGTACCTCCTTAATGTAGCAGCAAGATTGCACATACTCTTCCTCATTGAGATGGAGGTAGGAGAACAGCTCTCTGGAGACTTTTATAGCAAAGACCTCTAGCTGAGTAACCTTCTCCACCTACCTCCTTCTCCTTATCTTTGAGCAGCTATTTGTCCTCCTTTTGTGTGGCCTTTGTTGTTTCCCCCTGTCGAGCTGAGGCCAAGGGTGATACTTATTACACTCATGTTTAGGAGTATGTGGGGTGACCCTTTGAAGTTGGTACAAAGTTCTTCCATGAGAGCTGTATAGACTTCAGCAACTTTAACCAGCAGCTTAAAACATTAAACACTTCTATAAACTCAGCAATAGGTGGGAATAAATCAATCCAAAAAAAAACCCTGAATGTGCTGTATGATCCCTTTTAGAAATGCTGGTCAGAGTATCAGTTTTTCCTCCTGCTGAATAAACGTTCAGCTCTGCAAGGCTAGACAAATCATAAACTGGAGCTTTGGGTCTAAAATAGTGTCAAGTTAACTGAAAAGTAAAAGGTAAAGTCTCCACGGTAGCCCTACTCTGCCTACTTTTGGCATATGCCAATATGTATACACTACCCAAGGTTCCTCAAACATTTTGCTACTGTGACCCCATGTTGAGACTTGAACATTGTCATAACCCCTCAAGTGATAATTGCAAGAGTGAGGTAGGAAGGCTGTGAGAATGGAAGCTGTTAGGAGTTATGGGGAGATGGAGGGTGCAGAGTTTTTATATCTCAGTTGGAGCTACATTGCTGCCTCAGAGCCTAGGACCTCAAAATTTCAGCTTGTTAGTCCACTTAGGATTCCAACCTCCACTTTGGGAAGACCTGCCCAATGTGGTATGTTCACTGGTCTAGCATATATCAGAACTACATGTGTGTGACCTCATTTTTGGAAGCAAAAAAGTGCCATAGTTACTGAAACTAAGGGTGCACCACAACTAAAATTTGTAACCAATACATCAAATTTGTCACCTGCATTGAAACAGTACCACAAAATTGAGTAAAAATGAAGCACTATTAGACTGAAAATAGAAACACAAAATTAGACTTTTGCATTAACTTATCTAGCTTAATATATTGCCTGAATATTCAGCTTAACAGTTGGAATTACTATATTACTTCAGTTAATAATCTTGCAATTCTGTGTACTCCTACTGAGGTGAAGTGAATATTAGTTGAATCCGCATTATTTAAAGTTACAATGAGTTTATGTTTTTACATTAAATTGTATCCCTGTCATTTTTTTTTTGTATTTTTATCATTACAGG